ACGAATAATGCCATCGCCTACTTGAAGGACGGTACCAGTATTGAGAATCTTTATTTCTCTATTATATTTTTTCAATACGCTCACGAATAATATTCTTAATTTCATCAGCTTGGATCGTTCCCATGATTCGTTCTTAAATTCTTCTTATATAAAAAATAATACCTCCGCTATAAAATATTTTATATGAAGTAATATATTCTTTAATTTCAATTTTAAATAATTCGTATCTTGCTCAAAACCAATAAAAAAGAGCTGAGGTTGGAGTGAAAGCTGCCACGTTAAAGACTAATCTTTGATTTCTTGAAGTGTGCTCAACATGCGGATATTGGTACTAATAGTACGTAAATGCAACTCGGTGTTCAAACAACAAGTCAAAGTTTCTAGAGCTCTTTGTAAGGCTTGTTGGAAAACCTGTTGTTGTACTTGATGAATAGCTCTTTCCTGTTGAAATCGAAGAGTTTCATTTTTATTATTTTCAAATTGTTCTAAAATATTAGAAGTTGAATTAAGCAAATTCAAATTTTCTCGTTTTATTTCAGAGTATCCATTCAGGCGAAACTCCTCGGCTTCTCTTTCTACTTTATGTAAATGAGCTCGGGCTTTTTCTAGTTTTTCACTAGACCTCCCACGCAGTTCTTCTGAATTCTGAATAGTATTTAAGATCCTATTTTTTCGGTTATCTAATAAATCACTTAATGAAAGTAGATTTTTTTTGCTTTCATTTCAAAACAGAAAAACCCCTTCCCGAACCAAACATGAATCTTTCAATTCATTTGGCTCTCAAGCTCAATTCCTTCAAATCAAACTTAATAAAAATTATGATCTTTTTTTTTTCTTTATTACTCGATTGAGCTTATCCTCTCTTCCTTCTTCTTTATCTTTGTTAATATTCCAAATAGATGAGGACTCTTCTAACAAAACAACCAAAAAATCGGTAATTGTCAGCAAAGTTGTTTTTTTTTTCAAAAGATTTTATTACTTATTTCTAAACACAGGCCGTCCATTTAGCATTGGATTTGGATAAACAGGGGAAATTGCCCTTCTTTTTGAAAAATTTAAAAATAAAAATGAAGGGGTTCCCTTAGTTTAATCAATAAGAGCATCCTCTATTGATCAAATATTTTTTTGAAAAGATCTCTATAATGAACATAGTGATAGAAAGAGTACCATATAATGCCTTGACTTCAAATGATTTTTTAACCATGTTCATAGTATCATAGTCGTGGCTGAGAGAGAATCAAAGTTGATTTACCAGTAAATGACGAAATGCTATGGTTCTTACAGAAAATTTATTTATTCAGAAGTAATTCGCGAGATACTGCACCTCTCTCTCCGAGTTTTCAGAAAAATAAAGAGTAAGAGTACAACTGGTTAGTCCAGCCTATTCCTGAAATAAACAACTCGCACACACTCCCTTTCCAAAGAAGATCAATACTCCAAGCACTACACTTAGATTTATTAGATTTGTTGCTAAAATATCGGTATTCCACCCGAAACTCCCAACAGATGACCAGTGGCCGAAAGAAAGGAAAGGATCGGTTACGCTTTTCATAAATTCTCCTCTTATAGTATAGACTAAAATAAAACAAGACTCTTTACTTCACCTTGCTTTTTATTTTGATTTTATTCAATAAATAATAAATAAATATCACGTAAAAAACAAAACAGATTTTCGTTAGTTAATTATAACTTCTTAATTCAATATTAAATCCACATTATATTTTAGTGTATTTTGCGGATCTACTAAACCTCACTAAAAAAAAGTCAGCTTAAACTACAAGTGGAAGGGATGAAAGCAATTAAAATAGAATAAGTATTAGTATTTCATGCGTATCATAAGGTTCTTTTCTCAACCAATAAAGTAATGCCAAGAGGGATTTTGAATATAATTTGAAAAAAAAAGCCTCAATAGTCTATTTATTAGTCTTATCATTCTAAATTAAACAAAAGGATTCGCAAATAAAAGTGCTAATGCAACAACCAATCCATAAATTGTTAAAGCTTCCATAAAAGCTAGACTAAGCAATAGAGTGCCTCGTATTTTTCCCTCCGCCTCAGGCTGTCTCGCGATCCCCTCTACAGCTTGACCCGCGGCGGTCCCTTGACCAATTCCGGGTCCAATAGAAGCAAGTCCTACGGCCAAGCCAGCAGCAATAACGGAAGCGGCAGAAATGAGTGGATTCATTAGTAATTCCTCGTAAGAAAACGTAACAAAAAAAGAAATCGTTAATGATACAATGAATCAATTAGCAATTAGGCCTTCGCTAGTCATTAGTTCATTTTATCCATTTTCAAAGTAATTAATATTAATGAGGATCCCCTATGGATTCACCTATATACGCCGCGGCTAGGGTTGCAAAAATAAGAGCTTGAATACCACTTGTAAATAATCCAAGAAGCATGACGGGTATTGGAATTGCTGAAGGGACTAAAGAAACAAGAACAACAACTACTAATTCATCAGCTAAAATATTCCCGAAAAGCCGAAAACTAAGTGATAAAGGCTTTGTAAAATCTTCTAAGATGTTAATTGGTAAAAGGATGGGGAGTCGGTTTTATATATTTAGTGAAATAACCTAATCCTTTTTTTGAAATACCCGCATAGAAGTATGCCGCTGACGTAAGTAAAGCCAAAGCCACAGTAGTATTTATATCATTCGTGGGTGCGGCTAACTCCCCATGAGGTAATCTGAGTAGTTTCCAAGGTAAAAGAGCCCCGGACCAATTAGAAACAAAAATAAATAGAAACATCGTACCAATAAAAGGAACCCAAGGGGTATACTCTTCGCCAATTTGAGTTTTACTCACATCTCGAATGAATTCAAGAACATATTCAAATAAATTCTGACCCCCATTAGGAATGATTTGTGGGTTGCGAACAGCTAGAGTAGCAGAACCAATTAAGATACCAATTACAACCCAAGAAGTTATAAGGACTTGGCCGTGGACTAGGAAATTCCCTATTTGCCAATATAAATGTTGACCTACTTCTACACCAGATATTTCGTATAACCCCATGGGGTAATTGCTAGAAAAAAAAAAAAAGATTCATATGACCCCCTTAATTATTTTAATGCCAAAATCTATTTGTCTAATTCAATTGGATCTTGTCATTTTTAATAGAAACAAATCAAAAAATCTAACTTTTGAAGACTCAGTAACTTATGAAAGGAATCTATGTTATTTTTGAAGTAAGTTTTTTAATTTTTTATTAGTTATTTTTTTATTTCTTTATCAAGAATTTATTTTATAGCTAAAACGGCCCTCACAAATTGCAAATATTAATTTGTTAAGAATCAATCGAATTGAAGAGATAGCGTCATCATTTGCTGGAATTGAAATGTCTGATAGATTGGGGTCGCAATTAGTATCGATTAAAGAAATTGTTGGAATTCCTAAAGTTATACATTCTCGCAAGGCCATATATTCTTTGTGCTGATCAATAATGATTACAATATCGGGTAAGCCTGTCATATATCGAATTCCACCCAGATATGTTTCGAAACGCGCTAATTGTCTTTTGAGCACAGTTGCATCTCTTTTTGGAAGATAATGGAACCCCCTCTTTTTTTGTTCCATTCTCAAGTCCCTAAACTTCTGAAGTCTTGTTTCTGTGGTGGACCAATTCGTTAACATACCGGCAAGCCATTTTTTATTAACATAATGACATCGGGCCTTTATGGAAGCTCGGGCTACTAAATTAGCTGTTTTAGTGTTAGTACCCACAATTAAAAAATTTTTTCCTCTACTTGCTGCATCAAAAACCAAATCACAAGCTTCCGATAAAAAACGAGCAGTTCCGATCAGATTTATAATATGAATATCTTTACGCTTTATAAAAATAAAAGGTGCCATTTTAGGATTCCATTTCCTAGTACCATGACCCAAATGGACTCCAGCCTGCATCATTTCGTCCAAATTGATGTTCCAATATCTTTTTGTCATTGAAATAGATCCCCCCTTTTAGATTCTGTTTAAGAAAAAAATTAACGAGGAATTTTGAATTAAATTAAAAACGTGTTCCAACGGAACCTTATCCTCTATAGTCATCTATACTAAATTGCCGATATATATAATATATACGCCCCAATAATTATTATTTTCTATTTTTCTATTTCTAAATCAACCGGCGAAATTGAGAAAGCATACAAGATATTAATTTGCTCTTAGGAATCTTTCTAAATCCTATCAATTATGTGATATCTTTTTTTTATTTTTTGAAAGGAACGATTTCAAAAGTTTTCTATAAGGGAATAAAATATCTCTAACCCCCGCCTCAAATAGATTGTTTTTTTGTTTTTGGAAGGAACTTTTATTATATTGTTTTGAGGGGTAGACTAATGCTCTGAATCCAGTCCCGGCCGGTATAACCCCACCCAAAACAACATTTTCTTTCAAGCCTTTCAACCAATCGATCCGCCCCACCAGAGCCGCTTTTGCTAAAACCCGAGCAGTTTCTTGAAAACTCGCTTCCGATATGAAACTTTGAGTATGGAGAGATGCTTTTGTTATTCCCAGTAATACGGCTCTATAATAAATAGGTTCTTCTAAAGCACGCCCCATCCGTTCTGCCCGCAACAATTCAATAAGTTCTCCAGGCGAAAAAACATTAGAAATTCCATCTTCTGAAACTAAAACTTTTGCTGTGATTTGACGTACAATAATTTCAATATGCCGATTATGAATCTGGACCCCCTGAGATCTATAAACTTTTTGGATCTTATGAATAAAAGAGATACGACTTTGCACTATAGTTAACTCAGCACTAATAAAAAATCCCCAATGAATTCCAAGAATTCCGGTTATAAATTTGTCCCAATCCACAAACCTCCTTTGTAGATTCATTGATATGGAATCAACCGAACGCACTTCTAAGACCTGTTCTACTTTTGGAAGGCCTTGTGTTATATCACCGGATCTTGATTTTTCATAGTTAAAAGCAACTATTGTATCGCCGGCAAAAAGGGGTTTTCCATAAAGGCCATGAACAATTGCTCCTGGGGGGGCTAAATAAGGCTTAGCTGATCGTATTACTACAGAGTCAAGTTTGACAAGAATAACTTGACCCGAGTTTATAACAGGTATTCTTTTTTCTATATATACATTTTTACAAATAAGCTGTCCAAGACTTAGTCTTTTATATGTCGCTGTCCAATGATTTTGGTAAAGAAAAGACCCATTCAAACTAAATGCATTCAAAATAATGTTACTGCATGGATTAAAATTGTAAAATTTCTTGTTTTCCGCAAGAAAATAATATTTAAAATTGAATACTTGACAGGGCAGTTTTACCTTGTCGAGTTTTAAATAATTAGTGACTAAACTCAGATTTTTAGTTAATAACCGATTCAACGAATCACAATTCACAATTGGAAGGTATGTTCCTAAAGGACCCAAATAATTATTAATATCAAGGCTTGGGGAATGCTTTTGTATTGAGGCTTTTCTGACGTTGTGATATTTTACACCGTTAAAAAAGTCCATTTGAAAACAATTTGATGATGACAAAATAATAAAGGACTTATATTCCTTATTTTGATTCCAAAATGTATGAATAGTTCCTTTTTTTTCGTTAAGGGTTTCGTCAATCCGTGTCTTAGAAAATGAATTTTTTGTGGTCCAAATTA